CATTCCATGTCCCCACACACTCTGAAGCCCTCTCGTGGAGGCAGTGCAGTGGAGTGGTCCAAGCCGGCCTCCATCAGAAGGATGGCTAGCGTGGCTCTGGCCAGAGTCACAGTGCAGGGAGGCACAGCTCCTACCAAGATGAGGAAGAGTCGGCTTTGGGTTCATGCTCGTTCTGGAGCCTAACCCCACCTACAAGCTGCACCCACATCCTCCTTCGGCTGCCCATCTGTCTCCCTGGGCTCACGAAACAGATGCCTACGGCAAATCCACTCAAGGCCGGCCTGCCTTTCCCTGCAGGCACTGGGTTCTGGGGGAAAAGGAAGAAGACGTAGAGGCCATTGGCGTTCTGCTCTCGCCTAGCTCTTCCACCTACAGACCCAGAGCCTGGTCTACAACCCACTCCTGACACGGCCCCTCTGCACACTCTCCAAGTGGACTCAGAGCTCTTCCCGTGGGGGCCAGGAGCGGCCTGAGGCAGTGCCGAGGAAGGCGCCCGTGGTCCAACATGGTGCCTTTCCAAGGCCAAGGGTATTCGGAGCCAGCGGCCTGACACCCCGACAGCATCCACTTCCCAGTGATTCTCTTCTCCCATGGCCTTATCCTTGAAAGCTTTTCTTACAGGATGTGAACCCTGAACCAAAGCAGGCCTGGGAATGGGTGTGTCGAAAGGCTCCTTGCCTGTTCTGTACAAGGACATCCGGGCCCACACCTTTCCTAGCCAGGCCCCAGGGCCCCAGGGGGAAGGTCTGGGGTCACCCATGATCCCTGCATGCTCTCCTTTGTCTACCTTCCAGGACTTCACATCCACGGTGGTTTCTTCTCCCTCTTCTTTGCAAGGCTCAATCCTTACGGGAGTGAGTGGAAGTCCCGCGAGAAGGTAACAGAAAGTGAGGGAGAGAGATTTCTTTACCTCCTTCTCTCCCCTCTCTCCACGGCAGCTACTTCTCCTTAGGGACCACTGGAGAGGGCCAAGCAGGGCCCGGTTTGCAGGACAGCCGGGGCCTCTAGTTCCCTGAGCTGGAGCAGGGCTATAACCATACGAGTTGCCGTGGAGTGAGCTACAACTCATGGCAGTTTCGTGTGTGTCAGACGAGAGCCACGCTCCATGGAGTTCTCAGTGGCTGAGACCTGTCAAAACCAGATCGCCAGGCCTTTCTTCCACGGCCACTCTTCTTGGACTGGAACCGCCAACCTTCCTGATAGTAGCCAAAGACCTCACCATCCGTGCCGCCCCCGAGACTCCAGAGCAGGCTCAGGGGTTCAGGAAACCCAGAGAGAGGCTTGTACCCCCAGGCAGGCAGGCAGTCTGGTGAAGGCAGCCCCACGTAGCCTTGTAAAGTCTGCTGCTTCTCAGGCACTCCAGTGGTGAAGTTTAAGGAGACAGTTATATGTAAGATGCTAATTGATCATCCCGATCCTGTTTACTCTGGATCCATAATTAATTTCTTCATTCGGATTGAGCTGGGAAGGGAGTAACTTCCTTGCGTGCCTCCTTGTTGAATCTAATATGCTAACCATCCTACGACAGTTATATATGTTAAGTAAATGTTCGTCGGGAGTGAAAGTGCTTATTTGGGATTAACTGTTAGGACGGAGACAGAGA